TCACTGATGCGTCAGAAATCAGAAGTCGGTGCCGCATCCTCCTGGCTTGTGCCCCAGGGTGTCTCTTGTTCATTTTCTTACTTCTCTACTCAGTTCTCTTTGTTTTATGAAAGAGGGTTTGGTTTTAACATTGTGGTTGCTCGTTGTTGTGATGGGTAATCTCTGCGCAGAGCATGGCGAAGGTAAATGAGATCCTGCATGAAGAAGTGTCGTGGGGAATTTGGTGTTCATTCACTAGAGGAGCCAGGCCAGACGCTCCTCACACCGCGGTAAATGTGATGTAAATCTGCTCAGGCTAATGGAATCTCGCATTTACGGTGAGATGAGATCAGCACCTGGTCACAGGCTGCAACGGGAGCAGGCCAGGTTGTTCCGAAAAGCGCTTCTCTGCCTGAAGAAGAGACGATGGCTTTGGATGTTTGTGATGGGCAGAGAAATTCTTTTCACTCTCACGGGCCGCAGCGAGGAGCTGTCAGCGATGCTTCTGCAGCTCAGTTCTTCTGCAACCACCTTGTATATATTCATGTTCACAGCAGTTGCTTTATGGTTTGACTTCATTTGCTGTGGCGGTCAGCAGTCTCTGCCGTACCTCTCCCCAGCTGGCTCAGGCTGAGAGCAGAGCGGTTGTTATCATGAAAGGAATCTCTTCTACATCAGAAAAAGCCCACGTTCCGTTCCCTTGCGTAGGCAGCATTGGTTCAAGAAGATGCTTGCGCGTATGGTTTGGTAGCTGCTCACACTGGGTACTTTACAGCATCAGGTACAGCAGATCATGTAATTCTTGCTGTAGGAATTAAGGAATCTTGTTTCTTTTTGCAAGCAAGATTATCAGTTACTTATTTAAATGAGTTTGAATAAAATTGAAAGAACATGATGACTTTTTTGGTAGAAAATGTTATTTGTTTCTTGGCAAATTTGTGGCAGAGCTCACTGAAGAGAATGTTTATCTTCAGACTGAATTGTGCTTACAGGAGCTCGAGACCCCTGTCCCCCCCACCCCTCTTCTCGAGGAGCCGCCAGCCCAGGAGCACGATGGAGGCTTCAGGCCTCGTCTGCTCGAGAAGGAAAGCGCTCTGGGGGAGCGCTCGGCGCAGACCGACGGACGGTGGGGGGTCTGTCTCCAGGGGGAAGAACCGCTGCTGGTGCGGAGGAGCCAGTGTCTGCCTGGCAGCCAGCAGAAGCGTTGTGCTCTCCTCAGGGCTGGTGTCTTGGCTGCTGAGCTCCGAACGGCAGCACTGCTGTGGGGCTGGATGATCCCCTCAGAGGGAGGCAGGGCGAGCTGGCGGCCTGGGGCACCCTCCCTCCTCCTGCTCTGGGCACGCGTCTCGCCCAAATCCCCTGCGTGACACAAAGTGCTGCCCGACTCCGTCACCCGCCCCGTCCTCATCCTCAGGGCGCTCGCACGAGGCTACAGCCCCGCTTGCAGGCGCAGGCTCTCGGCATAGCCGTGGAGGATGCCCTGAGCTCCCTCCTCGCTGCGGTAGCCCAGCCCCGCTCGCGGTGTGTCGGCGGCGCGGTCACCCTGCCCGCCCAGCAGCAGGCTCCTATGAGGGCGCAGCAAGGCAGCGCTCGGAGCCGGGAGCCGCGATGCAGCGGCAGGGATGAACCTGCCAACGCGCGGGGCGAGGGAGCTGGTAACGAAGAAGGGCTGATGTCTCCTACAGAATTCAGAGGGGCACGCTTGTTAGGAACGAAGCCTGGCTTTATCCATGCGGTCCACTGACCTACGCCGTCTCCAGAATGAAGTCATTCCGCTGGGAAGCCCTGCGCTCTGCTGAGGACATCTCCCTGGCTCTGAGAGGTTGGGAGCGGGTACGGTGCAGCGCCGCGTGTTGTGGCTGGCTGATGCTGCGGAGGCAGAACGTGTCTGATCTCCTCAGCTTGCTGCTTTCTGCAGGAGGCGATTGCCCTTCGGCATGTGGGTGGCTTGGATGGCGCAGGGGGAGAATCAAGAGGGAGGAAAATACGAGTTTCTGGCACTAACCCAGATTTTATGCTAGCAAAGGGCCTGGACTGAAGCCAACATCAGAGTGCAGCTATACCCGCTTTTGTTGCTTTTCCTACAGAAATTTGGAAAACAAAACATACAGGGTAACGTATTTTGATTGGGGAAATAAGTGGTGACCTAAAGACAGAAATCCCCTGGAAATATGTGGAGAATTGGAATCCTGGGGTATGTCCGACGCCCCTTGGATGCAGACGAGAACAAGCTCTACCCACGCTCGGGGCTGACTGGTGGCTTTGTAGCTGTAATAGCGGGGCATCGCGCCCACGTTCATGTACCTCCCCTCTCGGCAAGGCTTTTCGTTTATGTTTGGTACCACTAACGACGGTGACCGAGCTCCCAGGCAGTGCGGAGCAGGGCAGGGCAAGCTCGCATCTGCCTGCAGAAAATACGTAGGCAGAATGTGGCAGTGATTTCTCGCTGGGGATCAGTGTCTGGCTCCAGCTCTCTGTACCTTTCCACCTTATGAGACCACACTGGTGACAGTTGTCAGCGTTTCTGGTAGAAAACAAGGCATGTAGACCGAGTTGTGTTCTACACGTCAACTTGACTGATCCAGTTTGGAGGATATAAAAATGACTCCTGAAACACACTGAGCTCAGTTGGACTGGAACATGCTCCACCTCACCCTGATAGGAGGGCTCGGGATTTTGGGGGGTCAGGCTGTGCCTCATAGCCATTCCTATGCTGTGTCAGTGGGATGTATCAGGATAATGCCAGTGGCTCGTTGGAGTGTCAGTCCGGGCTTTTTTATGGCTATTGCACTGACATTAGAGTTTATCTGTGGCTGTCCCATAAAAAAGCCAGCAGAGATGCAGATCTTGAGCAGTTCACTGCTCGTGGTATTTTAGCTGAAACAGAAATTGGCTTCCGTGTCACAGCAGGAGTTGGTAGTGGCTCCTAGTCTCCTTGCCTCGGTGTTTTCGCGTCTGTGACTTGCTCGCCCTCGCTGCTGCATCGCGAAGGCTGCAGACTGGAGAGTGACGGCTGCCAATCCTGTTGTGGGTCCGCTTCATACCCCATAGAGCTGGTGTGCCGTGGGAGATGGAATAACAGTACGACGTTAAATACTTCACTAAAGGATTGCTCTCTTGGCTGGTCTTGCATGCCGTGAAGGCACTTTAACTTCGGGGCATGCTGAACAAGCTACAGTTCAGTTATTTTACAAATAGAACAGTGGAAATGTTTGGACACTGCCATGCGACCTGCTTTCCTTTAAGTTTCCTTTAAGCCATAGAATCTATGATTCTATGATAAGTTTATACTTAGTGGCTTAAAAGACAGGCGTTGCTGCCACAGGAAAATGCTCGCGGAGGTGGCTGCTGGCCTTACAGCCCCAACCCTCCAAGTGGCCTTTTTCTGTCACCCCGTCAGTGCTGGAGAGGGGGGCAGACTCAGGTCTGAGGACCGAATCCCAGAGCCCTGGGGGCCAGCTTGGTCATGATCTGCTCCTTTCTGTTAATCTTTCTTCATGAGCGGTGACACGAGAGGATGCAGAGGGCGCCTGCTGCACCCTGGGTCTCTGCTGAAGTGCCGGGAGGTTGCTGCTTCCTGCCATAGAACATCTGGCATCACATTTATCCCTGCTGCAATTCCATTGAGTTCAAGAGTTGTCCTGGTTTCGGCTGGGACAGAGTCAATTTTCTCCCTAGCCGCTGGCATAGTGCTGTGTTTCGCATTTAGGATGGGAAGAATGTTGATAACTCACTGGTGGTTCAGTTGTTGCTGAGCAGTGTTTATACTAAGTGAAGGACTTTGCAGCTTCCCCTGCTCTGCCGGGGGCACAGGGAGCTGGGAGGGGGCACAGCCAGGACAGCTGAGCCCGACTGGCCCCAGGGCTATTCCATACCATATTGCATCATGCCCAGTATAGAGACTGGGGGGAGTTGGCTGGGGGCAGCGATCGCTGCCCGGGGATGGGCTGGGCATCACTTGCTTTTCCTGAGTTTTGTTTCTCTCTCTTGTTTTCCTTTTCATTACTATTATTATTATTACTATTACTGTTTTGTTTCAATTATTAAACTGTTCTTAGCTCAACCCGCAAGTTTTCTTACTTTTGCCCTTCCGATTCTCTTCCCATCCCACCGGGTGAGTGAGCAGCTGGGTGGGGCTTGCTTGCCAGCTGGGGCTAAGCCGCAACAAGAGCCTTACCTAGCCTAGACTCTTTCTATAACGAATGATGACGGGACTGTGATGGGTTAGGGGGAGGGCTTGGGTCACTGCTGTGTGCCGCTTTGCCCTGGATGATGCCCAGGGCTCATCTCGAGGGCTACAGTGGTCTCTGGCTACTGTTGGCGGTTTCCTGTCGGCCACCTTAATGTCTTCAGTCCCACTGTCTGCAGGTTAACTGGGAGAAGCAGGTTGTCCTGGTCAGGCACCAGGAAGGAGATGGCAGCCTCTGGAGGCAGCCATGCACGGAGCTGCTGAAAGTGAAACAGCTCCTGATGAACTGTTTGTGGACAAGTCCTTGGTCATCAGATTTTATTCTGTCTTTCCTCGTTCAGGGACAATACTGATTCTTTGGATCCCAGCTGTCTTTAAATAGCTCAATTTGCATATTCAACGTCTTTGCTTATAAAGACCCAACAGAGAAAGGAAGAGTTCTGCAGTTTTATTTTGCTCTTTGCTGTCTGATCTTGTCATCAAACAGCGAGGCTGTTGATAGTGAACGGGGTTATTAGCGCTTTCTTAGTCACGTTACTCCACTCGGCGAAGGCTGCGTTCAGTTCCCGTTCGCTGCAGCGTACGTGGTCCTGCTGGCAGGGGGGGGAAGGCGGTGCCGCCGTACCCTGCTGCCCTAACGCCTGCGGTCGCCGCGCTGCTCTCTAAGTGCACTGCACGCTGAAAAGTTCGTGTTTCCTTTTTCTCCTCTCTCCCAATTGAGTTCTTCCACACAGAGAAAATACTGAACTGGAGAGATAACAGTTATGTCATTTCTCTTCACAGATTGTGATCCCCTTCTTCAGTCTGTTGATCAAAGACATTTATTTTTTGAACGAAGGATGTGCTAATCGCGCGCTGCTCTCTAAGTGCACTGCACGCTGAAAAGTTCGTGTTTCCTTTTTCTCCTCTCTCCCAATTGAGTTCTTCCACACAGAGAAAATACTGAACTGGAGAGATAACAGTTATGTCATTTCTCTTCACAGATTGTGATCCCCTTCTTCAGTCTGTTGATCAAAGACATTTATTTTTTGAACGAAGGATGTGCTAATCGCCTTCCGAATGGACACGTCAACTTTGAAGTAAGACCTGAAAAGAGTTTTTATCTATGCCATTCCAATAGCGCTGTCCGAGACGTTTGCCTGCAGGTTCAGTACAGACCAACAAAGGCTGGATACGCCAAAGCGGACGATCTCAAGCGACTGTGTGAAGGTTAAACCAACCCCAGAATGTTTTTTAAAAGAATTAATATGTATATTTTATATAAGCATTGCAAACAGGTCATCCTGACTTGCTTGATGTCTGTCGGCTGCCAGGAATAGTGTCAGTAGTACAAGTGATTATACTTAGGGCTTGAAGGGGAAGATGACGTCTTCAGAAAACATGGCAAACTCTTTTTCCTGTGCACACGCATACGCACTGAAACAAGTCAGTATAAAATGCTTTATACTTTATTTTATCTGCCTTTTTAGCCCTTTCTCATTTTAAATAAAGAGGTTTGGCAAAGTAAGACATAAGTTACTTGTGGTCATCAGAGAATGACGCACAGCACAGCCAGCCAGCGTGTCCACCAGGTAATGTCACGCCGCCGCTGTAAGGCTTCGAGTGTGTTACCTCCTGCCCGCGGGTTTTACGCAGAGGCGTTTCTGTTACGTGCGGCAGAAGGAGGTGTTCCCTCTCAGCCCTGGCAGTCGGCAGTATCGGTCACCTACCCTGAGCAACCCCAGTCCTGGAGCGGCCGGACGGTGCCTGTGTTCTTGTGCGCCGGCGGAGGGGCAGAGGTGGGGTGGTTCTGAAAGAACTGCCCAGTGTCAATGAGAAAATAGGTCCAGAGCTCTCAAATTCTTTGTAAATCATTTCTTAAGCATCGCTTTGGTGGCATTAAATTTCTTCTTCAGCTGTTGGCACAGTAAAATAGTGAATAATGCGTAAAATAGCGAGCCTGGCCTTGCCTTAAATTATGTCAGAACCGTTACAGGACCTAAAGAGTTGTAAGGCGTTGGAGTCACTCCACTTTATCTAATCTATATCTGATTCCGCTCCCTCCTGTTCCATCAAAGTTTATGTCCTCTATTCTTAACTACAGTTGTGTAACCCATAACTTTGTTCACGGATACGTTCTCATTTAAGAACAAACTGAGTCGGCTTGGAAGAAGGAACATAGCGCACCCTTTCCTCTCTCTTTCCCCTGTAAATGAACTGTGAAAACGCATCCATCCAAAACATACAAGGTGCTTTTCTCCTAATTAATATCCTTGTGGATGGCACAAGGGATCCTGGATCCCAGGCTTCTGCTTGGATGTGGTTGTTTTAGTGGGATAATCGCATTGTATCTGAGTGGAATAATTTTATGTTTACAGAAATTTCTGGAACTGGCTAAGCAAGTGGGAGAATTTATAACGTGGAAGCAGGTGGAATGTCCCTTCGAACAAGACCCGAACATCATCCACTACTTGCACACTGCTCCCATTTTCACCGAGGATGGTAAGACTCCGCACCATCTCCAGTCACTGAAAGCGTGTGCCTCCATCACTGCTAATTAACACCCTGATCCGTGCTGTGGTGACCTCCTTCACGGACCAGCCCTGGTTCTTCCCTAGCTTTCCCGCCATGCGGCGTGTTTATCCCTAGTCTGTCGGCATGGTTTTGCAAAGATAACCCTCTAGCTCCTGAAGCTGCTGCCTGATGGCTTTTCTTTTGTCCGTAGCGTCTCTGTAAGGCACTGTCTCAGAAGCTGCCGTTGTGGCCCTGTTTTTGTGACCAGGAAAAGAGGCCACACAGCCGTGTCGTGGACCGCTGTGAATTCAGCTGTCCCTCAGCCACTCGCCCGGTGATGGATGGAGCCAGAGCTAAGCTCCTCCACGAACCAATGCTGTCGTCTCTCGGTGAACACAGCCCAGGGCGATGGCAGTCCAGCTGACCTCCTCCACTACAGCATAGAAATATGTTATCAACAGATAACATAATCTTTTCTAGTAATTAATTTAAGCTGTAGCTATGAAAGCCCTGTTCTGAAATTAGTTCTCTGGTTGTCTTTTTATACTGACGTGTCCTCTTCAGTTTGGTAGGCAGCGTCTCAGAGCGTGCCGTTTCATACCAGTTCATGTCAGTCGCCCCTTGGCACAGTGTCACGCACAGAACTGTCTACAGCTGTATCCCCATAAGCTATACTGGTGTTGGGTTTATTTCTCCAGTAGTCCAAGTTAAGCAGACCAGACAGCTTTTATTTCACAGACTACTTCAGAACTGAAAATACGGCTTCAGAAAGCCTGCCTAAATCCTAAGAAGAATGACTGACAAAATAGAATAATTGATGTGATGGAAGTAATATGTCTCGAAAGGGACGGGATGGAGGCGTCTGCTCTGGTTTTAGGCTTTAAAGGGACAGACAGTGACACTCAGGGGTATCTCAGGAGTGGTGTTTGAAAGTACAGCTTTCAGGCTGCTGGACCAAAAAAGGGCGACCTCCACCCACCCACCGTTTGCGGATTTTCTCTCTGGTGGCCCCCCATACCTGTTCTGCGTTCACGAGGTGCCCTTTGCAGCAGCCGCGGGGCAGCGCAGAGCAGAGACCGGCCCTGAGCCAGCGGTGGGAGCGTGCGCTGGGGAGGCAGGGAATGTGAAAGGCAGCTGTGCCCTGCTTGTCCGTGTGGAGGAATGGGGGGCCGGCGCCTGGATATTAAAATGCCATTGAATGGTAGGGCTTGAATTGAAGACTGAGGGGTTCGAGCACTAAAGAACAGAGCATCGTTAAACAGCCAAATGAGGAAATGTCTGTGGACGCCAATCACAGCCTACTTTAAAAAGATTCTGTGGAGACAGTGAGCTACTAGTGCATCGTCAGCTTTTGCAGAGGAGACTCTACAGCCTAGACACGTCTTGGTATCGGAAAATGCATCCTACAATGCAAAGTTTTGCAGAAAAAAAATTGTTTCTTTTTCTCTACCGTGTTCCTCCTCTAGTTTCTGTAACCCATCCTTACCTTGAGGGGGGTTTGTATTCATTTAAGATACCATGCCCCCATAAGCTTTAAAAAGATCAAGGAAGATGAAGTTGTGTTAAGTGATGGGAATATCCTTAATTTGAAGAAGTTTATTTGTTTAGCTGTCAGCTCTGGTGGTCTCTCATTTTTAATGTTCATAGAACACTTTGGTAGCAGTGCTGTGATGGAGTAAACAGGCCCAGATCTCTGTATGCAAAGCCAGAGGCCATCTGACTGCTCAGGAATTGTTGTAAGAAGGTCACACTAACGCATTTTAACTCTGGGCCCCCTCTGCTGTTCCATCAAAGTTAACCCAACAGCTTTCCAAAGGCAGGCATGTGAGCTGCACAGCAGTGTCCTACTGATTACCAGCGACCCGATGGGCCACAAAGTTCTCGAGTTTCTCTTGCTGTGCAGTACAACACAGGACACGCAAGGATGCAGAGATAGGGGGTGACTTGCTGCTGGAATAACACACATTTACCTTTCCCAGGTTTGTACCTGGCTTCCTATGAAAGTGAAAGTCCAGAAAACCAGACGGAAAAAGACAGGTGGAAATCCTTAAGGTAACCACTCATTTTATCAGCTCCTTTCTAAAGTACCTCCAAAAGACCCCGCTGATAGTCAAAGCTTGTGAAGTGCTGGCATTTAAAATGTGAGCCCTGATGGAGGCTTTTTCCATTTAAGCCTAATCTGCAGAGCTGAGGCTGCACTGATGAAAGCTAATCACAATCTCAAATTATGGACCGCTTAAAGAACACCCTCCAGTGAAGTCCCCGCCCGAAAGAGGCCTGGCGTAGGTGAAAAATGCCCTGGGTGAACTGGATCTTCCCACAGTTTACATCTCTCTTATAACAGACATATAATGGTTTAGTGTAAGTGAGAATCTAAAGAGAGTGATTGAAGAAAAAAACCAACCCACCTTTATGTTTACTTTTTATCATTGTTCTTGTGTTTTACATTTTACAGATCCACTATTTTGGGAAAGACTTGAAGATGAAGAGATTATTGCAGTAGGTCAAGGAAAAGAAATCCGCAAACATTTTGCACTACTGATTCCAAAGATGCCTGTTTGGGATTTAGACTATTTCTTTTGTTTGAGTTTTTTGTTGGGTTTTTTGACTGCCTAACGTGATGGGTGAACTGGATTCATCCACCGAAACCAAGAGAACTGTGTGCACAATGATGCTTTTCTAACTATGAGACAGAGAGGAAGGACAAACAGACCATTTGTGGCTGTGCCCAAACCGCGTCAGGATCACTGGAACTTCAGCCTCTGAAGTAAAGCGTAAGAAAATCAGGAGTGTGGAGAACCATGGTACTGCAAAAGAGAATGGAAAAGTATAACAAAAGGAAAGCAAAAAATACACGCGACTATTTCGGAAGCGGGTGCTTCAGACCGCAGCTCTTCAAACCCTCCGAGGACTGTAAAATTAAATCAGACACAGACAACAGCAGCAATCTGGTTAATTGCTGAATGAAGACAGAACTTAATCTTGCACTAGCAGTCCCCCAGCCTTGTTGAACAAAGCTCTGACTGCTACAGGTATAAGCTTCCAGCGGATGAAAACTGACATCGCTCGCTCGTATGTATACGTGTGTGTCACGTCTAGACCACATCAGCATGAGACAGACGCACAAACCCCATGAGTTTTTACAGAGAATAACCTGAAGTATGACTGTTGCTTAGCTATTCTTCACACCACCGTTGTTGCTTTTCTTACTGTGAATTTCGGCCGATCTGAGGAGGGCACAGAGTGCAGACAGTGTTGCTTAAGGACACCCCCCCCATCTAAAGTGGAACTGAAGAAGCAAATGACTCTGGACTCAGCTTACCTCTATTTAATGTACGTAGTGTGTTCCCTAATTTTGTGGATGCTGAGGTGCATCCTTTAGAGGGTTTTATCACACTTAAAGAAAAAAAAAGGTACTGCATTACCATTTGGAAAAAAATCTATTAGGTCCCAATGAATACAGTACTGTTTATTTTGCAACCTGATACTAGGAGGATAGGAGGGGGAGGTAATTGCTCTGAATTTGGGAACTACATGGTATGCTTTAAAAGACAAAGGGTTTCAGACTAGAATGAATGCACTAAGGTATTTGTCGTTCATGAGCAGAAAGCCATTTTTCTGTTTTTATTTTTAGCATCTAAACCACGTTCACCATTGCCTTTCAAACAATACAAAGTAGGGACTGTGTCTTGTGTTTAGAGCTGTAAAATAATCAAGGTGCTACTGTAACACATATGTTAAATGATAATGAACTATATGGGTATTAGATTCAAAACTAAGCCCTACCAGTAGACTAATGGTTTGTGTGTGGAAGGAATGTTCCTACCTGCCCCAGAAAAGACCTCCAAAAGCTTAAATGAAACCCGAATGCCACATGGTACCGGACAGCGCATTTTGTTACTGACTCGATGCTGGCCTTTTCAGGTGTTCCAGTCTTTCCCTGTCTCCAACAGGAGGACATAACCCTTCCTCTGAGACCAGTAGTAGTTCTAGTTCCATACAGAGTGATTCCAAGTAGCCGTAGTGTTTTGAAAAATTGGGCAAGCCATAAAAGGTGGCTGTGTTGGCCTCTGCATTTAGCCAGAAGATCGGAACTGTTCCTGCCTTCTGCCCCACGCCTGAGCACGCTGTTGAAATGGGGGGGTTGGTGAGCAGTTGGTGCGAGGGCAGCCCTGACAGTCGAGCTGAGCGGGAGAGCAGCGGCCTGGGGCACGCTCTGTGCGGCAGACTACAGTTTGTAGTATCCACAGCACAATTCCCATGTTGGGTTTTGATCTGCGAAAACCTGTGCAGTCTGGGTCATGGCTACCTGGAATCCACTGCTCTTGCAATTGCAGGACAGCGTCTTCTAGATTTGCATCCCTGGGGGCTGGAGGCAGAACTTAATTCTCCTTTTCTTATAGGTCTATCGGCGCATGAATTCAAGCAGGGGGAACATAAAAACGTCCTATGTTTTTACTCAAGCTTTGTATGGAGGAACTAAGTGTAAGGGTGGTACAACATCACTCCAGCCAGGGAGCGATCGCTGTTTGGTGATAGTGTTAATGTGCTGTTTGTTAATTTTTGTACGTGAGCTGAGCGCTATACAGAGAAATATATACACAAAGCCATTCCTTCAAGCAGAACCATTTCCAAAATGATGCCATTAAAAGCCTGTTAAATTCCTACCCAATTCAGAGCAATAACCATAAGCACACCTACAACAATGCTAATGCTTAAGTGTCTTTGCTAAATGGTCATTTTTTTCTTAATATCTATACTTTTTAACAGGCACAGTGTGACTTCATAGTGGAAATGTTTATTTCTCTGAAACCTAGTGTAGGTGGATGGGCCCTTTCTTAAAATCTGGTTTTTAAAATGCAAATCCTCGCTCCTTTTCTAATGAGCCAATAGAGGCTGGTACAGCTGATGATATGGCACCCTGAAGATGAATCCAAATGTGGTTTCTCATGATAATACTTTATATTCTTGGACACCTTCCAGGAGTTCAGGCAATTTTGTAAATATGAGTTAAATTAGATCTCATAAAGTTTATCAATGTTGCAAACTAAACCACTTTCATAGTCCAAAACTTTCAAAACTCAGTGCTTAAAATGGAAGCATAAAGGTCAGATTTAGGTAGGTATTAAGGGCTTGGTGGGACTTTCAGAAGCACGAAATTATCTTTAAGCCTTTATGTAGTCACACATTTAAAAGGTGTTTTTTCAGAGGTGCTAAACATCCTCATCTCTTGGCGAACGCCGAGGCAGTTACTGCTTTATAGAGGTGTGTGGCATATTGATCCGTAGTATTCGATCTCCAGAGATGCTGGCCTGCTCTTTGCAAAACGACTTGGAGATGACAGTGACTTAAAATGAGAAGACAGCGCTTTTAAAAAACAGACTTTAGGAATCGTAGCTTGTCCTCACATAATTTTGTGGCTAAAATCGTATTGATTTAAATAGAAACAATGTAAAGCCTTAAGTTACAGCTGTCAGTTGCACTTGCAATTCATATTTGGCCTAACCAGGGTGTACAACTTCAGATGGGCGAGTGGCTAGAGCCTCGCTTCACCAATGGGTTTTGCAGAGCGCGAGTACAACTGAAAACAAAGGATGACAATTTGGGGAATAGATTTCTCCAAAAAAATGTATTAACGTGACATGGAAATGAGAAAAAGCACCTCCAATAATTAATGTTTTCTTGCTGTAAATGTGTAAAGAACTCCTACCATGCTGAAAAGAAAGCAGTATCACTGAACACTAAGCACTAAGCCACTGTGAGGCACGTAGGCATGAGACTAACATCCAGACAAGTTACCAGTAGGAATATCACGGCTTTCTAATTCCACTTTTTTCAGTGGATTCGCCTCCTTGACAGCTGCTTGAACTGATGCTACACAGAACAGAGCAAAGCTAGAGCTATAGGTCTGTAGCACCAGTATCAAAACCCTAAGCTAGTAAGATGTGAATATATGATGCAGAGTCTTTCAGAAGCATTACCTTAGCTTCTGTGTAGACCGCAGTATTTTAAAAGACCAGATACATGAAATCACTTCTGCACCTCCTCTAGCGTAATCAGTGGTAACAAAAGTTCTATTTTTTCATTTCCTGAGCCTGCCGTTCTGCAACGCAGGGCTGGATAAAAAGCCCAGTGAAAAACAATGAGGGAATTGTGTGCCTTCAGCTTGTGTTGAAGTCGGTAGATGAACTTGCTCAATGCCTTTCAAAAGACACTTACTCATACAATCTTGCCCTCAATTTCACATCAACATCAATCACATTGCCTCATTAAAGGTGGATGGATGTGGGTCTACTGGGTGTGACTGAATTTTGAGGGCAGAAAACTCTCAAAATGAGTCTAGCACACGAGAACGCTGCGCACCAGCGTACGCTGCACGTGGCCTATCGTTGCTCCCCCGGTAGGCAGTTAACGCCGTCCCATCATAAAGCTGGTGGAAGCTCCCCGGGTGGACAGAGGACACAGAGCTGGAACCAAACTGTGATCCCAGCCGCTGCTGGGATGGCACTTCAACAAAGCATGGACGCGGCTGCTAAAGCACTTCAAACAAGAAACAGGTTAGGCGTAGAGATATTTTTCTCAGCTTGAAAATATGTTCTGATGTGGTCAGTGGTGAGAAGATAATCGCTCACTTAAAGCCAAGCCATTCCCTTACTGATGCCTTGGTCACGTCGTCATGATTCGTTGCAATAGTTTACGCACCTTTTATTAAGGCACATGAGCACTGGTTTGCAGATGACTGTCAATCCAGTTTAGAGCAGAGCTCAGCTTGCTGAATATGTGATGGGAGTTACCAGTAAGAAGACATGTTAGTAGAAAAGGCTTTGTTATGCCTATCAGTGTAGAAATGTCACACAGTTGACAGTATCTGGCCTGAGAATGACTGTGTTCCATGGAACAAGACTGTTCCCAAGCACAGCAACGTGCCAGAGGAAAAACTCCCAATTGATTTTGATGGGTTTTGGAGCAGTCCTGCAATTATTAACTATAGCACAGCTTTAAGTTATTCATAAGGATTAAATTGCATTGACAACTGGTACTGTCCTTGGCCTGCCTTTTGAGCCAGGTGCGACTCTCAGATGGGCAGGCTGCACTTAGTAGGGTGAAAATCCAGCCTTAGCAAAAGTTTTCTTTGATGTTGTTGAAGTTTCAGCAGCAAATTTAAGGACTAAATCTGATCTAATGAATTAATTCACAGCGGAGAACAAAATTTGACTTTCTGGCTTTAGGAGCTTTTTTTTTCTTTTTAGACTGGTAGAAATTAGCCTTACTTTCTCAGGTGTCTCTTTCACTGGAAATTAAAACCCCTTGGCTTGTGAACTGATTATCACCATTGTTTTAATTGCAGAATGGGATTAGGGAGTGACAAGGAAACAGGGAAAAGTTCCTTTCTTACTGCTCAGAGGCTTAACCGTGTGCCAAAGACTTGCTTCTCTTTTGTCCTTTTTAACATTATCTGTGGAGTGAAATTACCTCAGTA